TTGGATTTCACGGCAACAGCAAAACGTGGACTTTGATAGTATTTTTTTTGGTCATTCATATTTTTTATTTCTGTCATAACATGCATCATACAAGCATTACAAAGTTACAACATAGTGGAGGCCAATATTTATACATAATAGACATAAAGTATTTCCATTAAACAGTTTTGAAAAAAAATGTACAATAATACTTACTACTTTTCTGTATCTTATTTTCACTGACAGAGAAACGTTTTCAAAAAAATTCCAACATTGCTTTATCATGTCTGCTTTTTTATGAGAGAGAGAGAGAAAAGATGGAAAAAAGCTCTATGGTTCTATAATATTTAAGTACTTCCAAAAAAGCAAGAAAAGAGGGCGTTATATTTTTCCATTTACAATTCATTATATATTGCTTAGCAATAAGAATAATTATGTTCAAGGATCTGAAAACAGTTTTACTAGAATTATCATATCCAAATATAATTTCTTCAGGTGTAAATTTAATTATTAAACCAGAAGTGTTACGAAGTTTATCTCTTAAATTAGACCATAAAGTAATGGAAAAAGGACACAAGCATATTAGATGAATGAGTGCTTCTTTAGTATCATGACAAAAGGAACAAAGTTCTGTTTCAGCTAAATTACATTTCATAAGTTTGCTATTTGTATAAAATATTTGATGTAAAAGTTTAAACTGAAAGCATTGAAGCTTCGTGTCCTTTGTTATTAAATAGGGTAAAGAAAATGAGTTTTCCATTTATTTTCAGGAATATGCTTTGATAGTTTTTCCTCCCATTTTCTTAACGCCGTTATAGAGGACTCTGCTATTTTTTCAACAAAAAATGATCAAAGTATTTCGTTACTTTAACGTTTCTTTGAAGTTTTAAAATATTTTCGCTTTTAATTTCATTTAACTTTTGATGATCTCTAATTACTTGCTTCCAATGTTTAAGGATTGCTGATAATAATCCAGTATATTCCACGAAATTTGTATTTAACATGTATTTATTATTAAATTGGTTAAAATTCATGAAATCGCCATTTTCCGTGATTAAATCATTAATGAAAAATTTGCCATTGGTAATCCATTTTCACTTAAACACATATTTTTTTCCGATTTTGATATTATTATTTAGCCATAGTTGTTGACTAAGAATTTCACAAGGGGCTGTGATAGAGTTTTGACTAGCCTTCCCCCAGGATATTAATACACTTTTCCAGAATGGATTAAATTTATTTGCAATGGTTTCTAAACCTTCAGATCTAAAATACCACATTTTGTCGTTTCCGAATTTTTGTGTCGTGTCGGAGAGCAAGAGTTTCCATGTCGAATGAATATTAGGGTCAAGTACTTTCATGACCCATGATATGTTCAAGGCTTGGCAGAAAGATGCTAGATGAGGAACCTTAAGCCCTCCGTTTTCTGTTGAATTATATAGAACGGTGCGCTTGATCTTGTCTGCTTTGCCTTTCCAAATAAACTCAAAAAACATATTTTAAAGTTTTTTTTAAAAAATCTGAAGGTGGGTCTGGAAGAACAGTAAAAAGTTGAACAAAAATTGGTAAAACCAGTGTTTTGAGCACCGTGACTTTTCCGAACGATGTGAAGTTTCTAAAAGACCAATCATTAATAAGCTTTTTGGCAGCTTGTAACTTTTCCTCATAATTATCGTAAGTGATATCCGGTTTGTTTGAGTCAAAAGTTATACCTAAGAGTTTAAATTTACCGTCATGGCCCCACATTATTTTTTCTTTTGTCTTAATCTCTTGACCACAGCCCCTTTTTGCACCAATCCATAAGGCTTGTGTTTTTTTCGAAATTGGGTTTTAGCCCGGAGCAAGCAGCAAAGGAGTTTATGCATTTTCATGCTAAGTTAAGGGATTTTTCATCATTTTCAAGCGCTAGAGAAGTATCGTCTGCATATTGGCTAACAAGATATTCTGAATCTTTAATGTTTATTTCTTTAATGTCAGGATTGTTTTTTGAAGAGGCGCTGAGGAGCTCTATCACGAGAATAAATAAATAAGGCGAAAGAGGGTCCCCCTGTCTTACACCTCTTCCTATTGTGAAGAAGGATGAAAAATGACCGTTGTTAAGCACACAGCTAGATGCATCGTGATAGAGTAGTTTAAACCATTTTATTATTGATCCCCCAAAGTTGAAAAATTCTAAAGTTTTAAAAATAAAGTTCCAATCAACAGTATCAAAAGCTTTTTCAAAGTCTAATAATAAAAGTATGCCGGGAATATTTTCTTCGACTCTTTGAATTAGATCATATATGAGACGAGTGCATTCTCCGATATATCCGTGTAAAGCAACTAAGGTTAACTTTTTATTAAAACATTTTAAATCTAAAATAATGAAATTCCCCTCTGAGTCAATGATTTCTTTACATATTTCAAATTCAAACGAGTTTTTAAATAAGATCGCAACTCCCCTGCTGCTGCTACTGTTTGAACTAAACACCCCTTTAAATCCCCATTCAGTTTTCCAAATAGTTTGCGTTTCCGTCGAGCTATGCGTATCTATAAGGAAAGTAATATCAAATTTATCTCGAGATCTGTTAAAAATATCCCTACGTTTTATATTATTTGAAGCAAGTACCCGACAATGTTGGCAACCAATTTTTAAATCATTCATAAAATAACAAAAAGAATATGATAAGATTGTTTGTTATTTCTACAGTCAGTCGGAAAATTGTTTGTATATACATGTAGACAGTTTTTATAGTATAAAACCCTCCCACACACTGATGTAAACACCCTCCCATTCAAGAAAAAAAAAACTTCCGCATTTTAAAGCCCCGGGATATTGAAAAAAAAACATACTGTACATTAAGAATATTTCACACTCTTATTTTAAACAAAACGATGTGAGCATAAAAATATTTTAATAATAGTTACATGTATTCTCATAAAATACAATTGTTAATTAAATACTACACATTTTGGCCTGACAGACGTGTGAAAAATTATTTACAATAGAAATATCCCAGGAGCTCCAAAAACACCACTCACACCGCCATTCGTCAACCGGAAGTCTCCCTATCATATGAGAGGCGGGGGGTATCACTAAGTGAGGTCATTGCTCACAGTATCTTTAATTTAGTTTGAGAAAAATAATAATTACATCAACAACAACAAGAAGATATATACTGGACAAAAAAGTTAAGGATCATCAATTTAAATATGTTTTACAAACACTGTATCATAATAAAACAGAATGTAATTTTATCATCGTATCAATTTTATATTTAAAAAGTGAAAATTAAACATTGGATGTGATAAATTTGTTTGTACACTCGATACGAATTGTTCATTACTTTAGAATTCGGCATATTATGGGTATACCTGAAAATGAGATTTTTTCAGAAGAGTCAAATTACGTCAGTATTTAGAATGATTGCCAGTACTTTGTATGACCTCCCCGCGAGGCCCTGCAGCGGAAACCCGTGCTGCCTATCAGCCGTCCAAGGCTAGCCTGAGGGATCTGTTGCCATTCCTCCTGCAATTCTGTCTGAATCTCCCGTCGATTTTGGGAAAGTTTAAGACGAACTGAAATGCGTTGCTAAAGAATGTTCCAGGCATGCTCAATTATAACTTCATGTCTAGAGAATGGCTTAGCGCGTCCATAGCAGGTTCACTTTCCATGTTCTCGTTTAAGATTCCGACTCCATGAGGTCGAGCATTATCGTCCATTTAGATGAAATCCTCCCCCAGAGTACATGCAATACGTCTAACAATAGTTTGAAGAATATCATTTTGGTATTTTAAACCTGTCATGTTACATTCAATAATATACAGATCAGCGTAGCAATCAATACTTAAGCCTGCCCAAATCATCACCAAACCTCCATTTACTCTGTATTGCTCAGAAATGACACAATCAGCATATTATTTCCAATATGCAATCCAAACAAGTCCTCTGTCATCATGGAAGTCAAAACAAAATTGCGTTTTGCCAGCTTCCGACATCCCTACTGCCATGGATTGTTCGTCCATACTCATATGTCTCCTCATAGCGTCTTATCACCAGTTCTGGCCAGATATACTGAAATTTTCTGATGTTCTTTAAAGAAAACCCTCTTTGATACTTTTTATGCCACGTACTTTCTTGACCAATATGTCCCGAAACTCATTAAACACGTGTGACTTAAGTATCGATTCGTGTAAATGACATGTTTTTAAAACTACTTAAGCCTTGTTGTCACATAAATTTATGGGTATGAAATATTATTCTTGTATAAAAATATGATCCCTCACTTATTTTGCCGAGTACATATTACATGAAGAATTTGTTTTGATGATGTATTTCTACAAAAAAATTTCGATTAGCAAATTTCACTAAGTCAGCGACAATAGAGAGCACTTGATTCGATGCTGCAAAATCGATCCGAAACTAGGAAAATAGACTGCTCTGTATCTGTATCATTCATATTGTGTGGGAATTTTGTACCATTGATTTGAGAAGTTGGGATATAAAGATTAAACAAGAACATTTGGAAATTCAAATAAATTTAGTTGTATGTAAGACGTAACTATACAAACTGATCCGTAACCGATAAAATGATAGTATATGTCAGGCATGTAAATGCTTTGTTTATATACCCCCGCTTGAAAAGAGGGAGGGTATATATTAATAGGGATGTCCGACCGTCTGTACGTTCATTCGTCACTTTGTACGTCCGTCTGTTACGCTTTGGGGTCCCCATCACTTATCCTCTGAATAAAATTTGATGAGATTTTCAGGGAATCTTTTTTACATTATGCCATTGTGCATCTCCTGTTTTACTTTCTGATCCAACACATATTTCAAGTGTCCAATAGAAAAACATGGAACTGCCATTTTATTCACATGGGAGGCGGGAGTATCATTCAGTGAGCTCACAGAATCTTCTAGTGTTTTTCAACCTGCTGCAAATCAGGAAAACTTACTCGTACTCTAAAAAGACATGAAGATATATGATCTGTAAGACTCTGGTCGTACACTTCCTACCAATGTGCTAATTTTATTACAGGAATTAGCAGGACCGTGCTCCAGTAATGTCTGTGAAATCAATGAAAAATGTATCAACGTCGGATGTAACACTTTCTGTCAGATATCAGGTTTGTTCATCTGAAATATTTTTGTAGCGACAAGATACTAAAAATTTCTTCTATCTGTTTTTTCTATCGTGAATTCTTTTTAAAATTGATAACTGTTTGTTCATTACACTTTTGAAACATATGCTAACGTTGCAAGCCTGGGTCTTCTGTTTGATTATTATTCTACTTGGTTCAAATAGCCAATTCTTGAGAAAGGTATTCTTCAAAATTCGTTCTTTAAAAGAAGTTTTTTTTTTAAATGTTAACATTTTCTTATTATTTCCAATAACAGATTGTGGGGACCCTTTCACCACTAGGATGACGTCAGACGTCGTTGAGCGGTGGGACGGTATTGGTGTGCAAAGACGAATACATGTCAAATGTTCTGATGAGTACCAGCAAAGCGGAAGTGGAATATTTATATGTAACAGAAATGGCAAATGGAACAGTGACATGAGTTGTAATGGTATCTTTTTTCTTGTAAATTTGAAAAAAAGCATTACCTTAATGTATGCCTGCTATATATCGATGGTTGCTTCGCTAAAAGCTGATGTATATTTTTATTTGTTCAGTTGCATTTTATAAAGAAAAAAGAAAAGGAGTTATGCACATTCATGAAACATTCGCATTTTGAGCCCTTACTTGAAATTTCGCTTACGTGGAGCAGCAGTTGAAGGCGTGCAGTTAAGGATTTGATCCTTACCTCATGGCTTTCATTAAACAAGGGCACGTAAAGATAGGGTTTTCCGGTTACAAACGTATAAAACAAGGTCATGTTAAAGTCGATACCGGTAGGATCTACTAGGTCATCAGTGCAGAGTACTGGTCTTGTGTATTGCTTGATACCAACTTGTATATTATCAAGACGTTTCTTATTTTTTGTCAATGACTCGTACATTTATTCTTGGGAAAATTCGTATTTATGTGATTTAAACAGTTTCGATTACACAAAAGCCAATGGTTTTTGAGCCTTGAAGAAAAATAGAAAACTTTTTCAAGTTAAGATAAAAAAAATTATGTTTAAAAAACGAGTATTTTTCCCTTTAAAATATCATATACTTACTTATCTTGTATCAATGTTTTTTAGGGAAAAGACTAGGATGTTTTAAAGACGAATTTCCAAGGGTCTTTGAACCTCCGGATTTTGTGAGATTTTATAATACAAATAGTCTCACTTTTTGCACTAGGCACTGCTTTGGAATTGATAAAGAATTCAAATATATCGGACTTCAGGTAAACTTTCTATTTTTTAAAGAGGAAACAATTGCAGTCGACTGAACATTAAAATGATTTCTGTTCTAGAATAGTCTTAGTTGAATTCCTTTTTCTCAACAGTTAATCTCTAATTCAAGAAAACAAAACGATTTTGGAGTTTGGAAATGCAGATTATAAAGGCATTTTTAGCTCACCTGAGCTGAAAGCTCAAGTGAGCTTTTCTGATCACATTTTGTCCGGCGTCCGTCTGTCTGTCTGTTGGTCTGTCCGTCTGTATGTAAACTTTTCACATTTTCGACTTCTTCTCAAGAACCACTGGGCCAATTTCGACCAAACTTGCCACAAAGTATCCTTGCAGGTAAGGGAAATTCCAGTTTATTCAAATGAAGGGCCGCGCCCTCATTCAAGGGGAGATAATTGGGAATTAATGAAAATTTGGTGGAATATTTTAAAAATCTTCTTCTCAAGAACCACTGAGCCAGGAAAGATGGAATTTATGGGGAAACATCCTCAGGTAGTGTAGATTCAAATTTGTTCAAATCATGACCCCCAGGGGTGGGGCGGGGCCAAAATGGCCGACCAAAGTTTTACATAGGGATATATAGGAAAATTCTTTAAAAATCTTCTTCTCAAGAATGACAAAGCCATTATTAATCATATTTATATGGAAGCATGCTCAGGTAGTATAGATTCAAGTTTGTTCAAATCATGACCCCCGGGGGTAGGGCGGGGCCAAAATGGCCGACCAAAGTTTTACATAGGGATATATAGGAAAATTCTTTAAAAATCTTCTTCTCAAGAATGACAAAGCCATTATTAATCATATTTATATGGAAGCATGCTCAGGTAGTGTAGATTCAAGTTTGTTTAAATGTAGACCCCCGGTGGTAGGGCGAGGCCAAAATGGCCGACCAAAGTTTTACATTGAAATATATAGGAAAATTCTTTAAAAATCTTCTTCTCAAGAATGACAAAGCCGTAATTCATCATATTTATATGGAAGCATGTTCAGGTAGTGTAGATTCAAGTTTGTTCAAATCATGACCCCCCCCCCCCAGGGTAGGGCGGGGCCAAAATGGCCGACCAAAGTTTTACATATAAATATATAGGAAAATTCTTTAAAAATCTTCTTCTTAAGAATGACACAGCCATAATTCATCATATTTATATGGAAGCATGCTCAGGTAGTGTAGATTCAAGTTTGTTCAAATCATGACCCCGGGGGTAGGTCGGGGCCAAAATGGCCGACCAAAGTTTTTAAAGATATATATAGGAAAATTCTTTAAAAATCATTTTCTAAAATATAGCAAATCCATGATTGGTCATGGGACTACTTTTGGATTTAAACTTTACAATAAAAAGCCATTTTCTACTTTTTCCTACCCTTGGTGCACAGGTGAGCGATGTGGTCCATAGGCCTCTTGTGTTATGTGTAGTATCAAAAGTGTGTAGCCTTTTTCATATAATTTTTAATCCCAGAAAGAAGAAAAGATGTTTCATTACAAAGTTAAATAAGAAGAAGATAGCATTGACTACTGCTACTTACCTATAGAAAAATTTAGAAGTCAAATAAATCATTATACCTTTATCTCTCTCCATTAGTATAATACGGGAATGTTAATGTTATCTAACAGATAACAGCAAATTGCGCTTATAGTAATGAAACTCTTTTGTCCATGGCACTTTTTAGCTCACCTGAGCTGAAAGCTCAAGTGAGCTTTTCTGATCAGCCATTGTGCGTCGTCCGTCTTTGTCTGTAAACTTTTCTCATTTTCAACTTCTTCTCAAGAACCACTGGGCCAATTGAAACCAAACTTTATACGAAGTATCCTTGGTTAAATGGAAATTTAAATTGTAAACATCAAGGGCCAAGTTCCTTTCCAAAGGGAGATAATCAAGAAAATACAAAATAGGGTGAGGTCATAAAAACACCTTCTCAAGAACCACTAGGACAGAAAAGCTGAAACTTATGTGGAAGCATCCTGGGGTATTGTAGATTCTAAACTGTTCAAATCATGAACCCCAGTGTTAGGGCGGGGCCACAATGGCTGACCAAAGTTTTATATAGAAATATATAGGAAAAAAAACTCTTCTCCTCACTGGGCTAAAAAGCTGAAACCTGTGTGGAAGCATCCTGGGGTAGTGTAGATTTTAAATTATAAAAATCTACCCCCGGGGGAAGGGCGGGCCATAATAGAGAATCCAAGTTTAACTTAGAAATATATAGGAAAAACTTTAAAAATCTTTTTCTAAAGAACCAATGGGCCAGAAAAACTGAAACTTATGTGGAAGCAATCTGGTGTAGTGTAGATTTTAAATTGTAGAAATCATGGCCCACGAGGGTAGGACGGGGTCACAATAAGGAATCCAAGTTTTACATAGAAATATATTGGAAACAACTCTAAAAATCTTCTTCTCAAGAACCTCTGGGCCAGAAAAGCTGAAACTTAATTGGAAGCATCCTGGGGTAGTGTACATTCTACATTGTTCAAATCATGATCCCTGGGGTTAGGGCGGGCCATTATGGGGAATCCAAGTTTTACATTAAATATATATGGAAAAATCTTTGAAATCTTCTTCTCAAGAATCACTGGGCCAGAAAAGCTGAAAATTGTGTGAATCTTGGGGTAGTGTAGATTCTGAATTGTTCAAATCATTACCACCGTTCACGGTAGTCTAGTGGTAGAGCGTTCGCTTCGTGATCGGGAGGCCCGTGTTCGATTCTCGTTCTCGGTGCGGCGTCAAACCTAAGACGTAAGAATAGGTAGTGACTGTTCCTTCGCCAAGCGCTCGGCATCAGAAGTGAAAGTCACGGGTGTTTCGGATATGACCTTAAAAACGTAGGTCCCGTTTCACGGTAGGCGCTGGCACGATAAAAAACCTTCACTGCTCAATGGCTTAGAGTGCCGAGTATAGGTCACAATTTGTAGCCTTTCACCGGCATGCGGTGAAGTCTCCATATGATTGAAATATTTTCAAGAGGGACGTTAAACAATAAACAATCAAATCATTACCCTTGGGGATAGGGCTTGGTCACAATTACTATTACAAAGGGGGAAATCTGATAAAGAACAGCATGACCAAAGTTTCTCAGGTGAGCGATGTGGCCCATGGGCCTCTTGTTTTTAAAAAAAAGTTTACTGCATACTTTATATGTAACATAAAAATATAAATATAAGAATTTTCATAAAAATAAAGAAGAAAAATGCATGGAAAATTGGTTTACATTTACCTCGCAACAATTAACCGTAAATTCTCTATATCATATTGCTGATTTCGAGATTATTTATTGCAATAAACAAAATATTTCTTTATGCATTCAAAATATGAACTGCACACAAACAAATCATTTTAATTCATTCTTTGTGTAAGTGTTTGGGGATATTCATTTCAAGCATAACTGAGCACAAAGAAAGTTTCATGACATCAAAATGAAGCCTTTTCAGGTATCTTACATTTTCATGTTTGTTTCTAGAGCGAGGTCTATTGAGATGGGCCTTATCTCGATGAAATCTAGTTTTGCTTCTAATGCACTTATATGAAAAAAAAGAGCAAATTCAAAGATAAAGATATACATTCTTAAAGAACGCTATCTTAGTAAAAAAAAAACACAAACGAAAAAAAAAACGGAAAAGTTTTTCTACAAAAAATGTTACATAAACTATACAAAAAATAAGAGGGAACAGCTCGAATAATTTTTTCATCTGCATCATATATTTTCAGGCTGGCTATGCATGTTTCTGTGGCCACCGTATGAGGAAATGGCCAAAACTTCCAGACGATGAGTGTAACGTTCCCTGCCCTGGTGACTTAAGTCAAACATGTGGAGGGCCGATGAAGAATGAAATATTTACTGTCTAAGAGGAATTGGAAAACTTTGGGAATAAGGCTCTCTCACCAGATAATAAGAGTCAAACGTCGAACTTATTAATGAGATATTTTTCAGAGGGGATTAAGAACGTTTAGTGCTTTTCCAACTGTATCAATAAGGGTTGAACTATTAAAAAACTTCCCACCCTACTGTGATGTCATAGATTAAAACAAAATAAGGAAATTATATTCATATCAAAGAGAAATAGATCTGTCGGTAGATTTCTTTCCAATTGCTTAGTGAATCAGAAGTCTCTGTCGAGACTGTAACTTTACTGGTTTGTACTTATAATAAAGGAAGAGAAAAGTAGCAGTTGGGACATAAAACTTAACAAAAGCAATAAATAGAATAATGATCGTTGAATAAGTATCTTTTAGTGGCAATATTGCAAGAAGACTACAACTGTAGGAGTAGCTTACAATAAAATTTTACAGAAGTAGGAGGAGATAGTTCACAGGAATTTTTATTTTTGGTTATCACAGCAACACCGTTCATCGAAATCAAAAACTGATATGCAGAATCTATGTATCTTAGTGAAGTCTACTTGTGTGCCAAGTTATATTGAAATCAGACCAAAACTGTAAGAGGAGTAGCATTTTGAAAAATTGTTTACAGACAGACGGACGGACGACGGTCCACGCATTACTATCGCATAAGATCTTCTGATCTCAAGTAGAGCTAAAAATAATGTTTTAATACAAAAATATTTTTTTAACATAAAACCCATGGGCCATATTGTCACCTGAGCACTGTGGCTAGGAAGAAAATGAAAAAAAAACAATCCAGTTTTTTTTTCTGTATATTTCCAGGTAAAACTTTGATCGTCCATTGTAGCCCACTCTCAGGGGTCAGGATTTGAAGAAAATTGTCTTGACACTACCTTAATGCTTCCATATAAATATAATCAATCATGTCTATGTTGTTCTTGAGAAGATGGTTTTTAAAGATTTTTTTCCAATAAATTCTTCTGAAATAATACTGACTCGGCGTTTTATACCGACAATCAATCCAATAAATTCCTATGTATAACTTTATATCTATTTTAGTCTCACCCTACCCCCGGGGGTCAGGATTTGAAGAAACGTGAATCTACACTACCTCAGGATGCTTTCACAGTAGTTTCATCAAAACCAGCCAAGTGATTCTTGAGATTTTGAAAACACGCCTCCAAATTTTTACTATTTCTTAATTATCTATTCTTGAATATGCTCCTGGCCATAGTCTTTTTAGGACAATCAAATATATAAACATACAGACATATAGACGCCCGGACGGGACAAAATCTATGAACTTACAATCTTTGATTAGGGGGTCATAAAATGTGTTTTACATTTTTTTCCCTGTACCAATAAATATATAAAAACTTTGAGATATATTATTTGTATCTTTCTGATCAGCAATTTTTTTTTTCATAAATCGGACGCAATGCATCAGACTCACACTTCTTAACTGAAAAATAGTTTTTAACAGGGTTTGACTTTGACATCTATCACGATAAAGTAAAATAATATTTCATTTGAAAATCGAGAAACAATACTATAAAAATACCGGTAGATAATATTTATTCAACGTAAAGTGTAAGCAGTTCCATTTATTTCTCAAGATAAATATACATTGTATAATTGAAAACAATTCATTATGATTCAAAACAGATCTAAAGAACAAAACAAAACAAAGTTGGACCTCACTGTTGATTCAATTGTCCTGCCAACCAATGATCATTGATTGCCTGAACTCAAAATTTCCGTTATCTCTTCAGGACACTGGAGAAACTCTATACATGTATAAGTGAACAAAGTTAAATGTAAAATTAACAAATACCAACTGTTCCTTTATTAGACGCTCTGAATTAGACTGGAAAATGCTAACAACATACAATCAATCTATTAAGTACAGGTCCATATAAGAATCAGGCAATCAGCGATAAGTCGAATGTCTCGGATTAAGCCAAAAATTTTTCACAGCAATACATGGAATAGTAGTAATCTAAACACAATAACATTTTTTTCAATTGGCACATATAGGCTGTGATATGTTACTAAAAATAGATTCTGGCACCCATGAGCCAAGATCTTGAGCAAAAAAGCCAGAAGTTCAATGCTTCAATAACAAGAATTGTTGTTTTCATAAAATAGCCAAAATTTTTTTTTTAAAGTAGAAAATTTGTACTTAAGTTATCAGTTGTCATGGAATTGTTATTTTGACCGTATCCATGGTAACCAGTGTCATGAAATGACACGTTATTTTGCCATTAAAATTTATTGTGATTTTAAAACTATATCAATTGAAACAGCAAACATATTATTTAATTTGTTTAACTCAAAAAAATAAAGCAATCTGTGGTCTTTATTTTTCCAGTTTAAAAAGTGTGGAAAAATCAAAAGGAAATTTTTAATGGAGATAAAAACTTGTAAGAAAATTAGATAAATTTCTTCATATTTATAGACAATTTTCTTAAAATTAAAAACAATATGCATTAAAATTGAGTTTCCTAAAAGAAAAACATCTCAATCAACATTTATTTTTCTAACTGTCGTATGTTATTGTTCAATATTATTTAGGTAATTTATTTTATTTACAAAAAATATGGTAAATCGATCGGGATCGGAATTCAATATATCATGTATCCATTTGGGTTCCAAATTTTCTCTGTCAATAACCATCAGGGATGTGTGATGATGATATGCATCTTTTATACCGTGCTTAAACCTTTATCAACTTGTAAAGACATTAATTTGCCATTTCCATTTGTTTTACATCTTATTCAGATTAAGCGAAGGGTTCATTGCTTTGATTTCATTCTGTGTTATTTTGCATCATAAACATCGTTCGTCCATCTTAGCTTCGTCTGACACCCGTAGTGACGGTAATCAGGGGTTGGTTGATTAAGTTATGTATAAATTTAAAAATTCTCAGTCTCTTGTTACTGAGAATTTCCTCATGTCATCGGCTATTAAGATGAAATCAAAAATGGATATTTAAACAAAATAATTCTGATAATCTGAGATTCCTCTGACTCTATCCCTTGCTTTTATATTGTGACGTGTGTATTCTCGGATTAATAGCCTGATAACTACACAATGACCATGTATGCACTTATTATTCAGGGATTTATGAACTATTCAAAATGTCAATTACTCCCTTCCAACGTTACTTATCGACAGTACATGTCCCGTTTGTCCATAAATATACTCCCCGCCAATGAAAACGCAACACTCTACTTTTAGGTTGAAAAATTATAAACGGGATATAAATATGTACCAAACAAGTTAGGACATCTTTTGCTTTGCCAAATAAGTTATTTAATGGTTGAATGGTTTTTTAAACCATTACCGAAAGTTGCTTTTTTAACCCTCTGAACAGATAACATTGAAATAAAACATCCCCCCTTCCAACAATTTAATCAAAACATGCTAGTCCGCCATGTACAATATTAATGTACGCAGTCCGATTTCTACCATGTCTTAGGTTTACTAGTGTCTTTATCTGAGCGAAATAAATATTCTTGGGCATTTTTAATTGCCTGTTGTTCAGATACAGCGGTCGAATTTTCTCTAACTTGGCGTAGTGTAGCAACTCTTGGACTTCCGGTCAAGAAACTGTTATTTATGCTTTTGAAACACATGAGCCTGAAGAGTGTTTAAATAGTGTTCATTTAGCATCTGCATTTCTTTTTTCTTTATTTTGAGAATTTCCACCATTAGCAACGAAAATCAGTCATTTTTAGGAAATATAGGCATCACATCCGGTAAAGAAAGAAGATTTTTTTTCTCGGGCTTTTAGTACATTACTTATGATAAACAGCTACAAAATCTTGAAAACCCAAAATATTGTTAAAGATTTTATTTAAAATTCAAAATTTTGATTTCTATTCAGAGGGCTAAAAAGCAACTTCCGGTAGAGGAAAGAAATTCATTCAACCGTTAAATAACTGATTTGGCAAAGTAAAAGATGTCCTACCTTTTTTGGTACGTAGTTATAACCTGTGTTTACTTTTCACCCTAAAATTAGAGTGTTGCGTTTTCATTGACGGGGAGTATATAATAGTCTGGTTGACAAAAGTATTGCTTAAATAAATAAATACTAATTTCAAGGTTGCTTTAGCAGGTCCAGTGCAATCTCTTGATTAAGCTATATAGCTTTAATAAGCTTAACTGAAATGTAAATATGTTTCATATTTACCTAATTTAATGGTGTTAATAATCTTTAATACATTGATCATCAATGTTGTTTTCTTTTCAAAATACTAAAAGCAATTTGGAGAGTAAGTTTTACATGCATAATATTCAGAAGAGTTCAAAGGTATTATCACTGCAACTAGGTGCGACTTTTTGTACATGCTGAAAAAATAACACATCTGAGAAAAAATTGACGTGACAAAAATTCTAAATCAAGCTATTTTCAATAGCTTAATAAAGCTATTTAGCTAAATCAAACCAGAGACATATAAAACCTAAATCAAGCTATATAGCTAAATCAAGAGATTGTGCAAGTCTTGTACCCAGTAGTCTACATGCAGTTGAACTTCAGTATCTCGATCAAAACCAATATCTTGGGTTAAATACCATGAATATGTTGATAGATTTTTTTTTAATACTTGTACACATAAAATTTAAAGATAACACAGTAGAACAAGCACTCTGAGAGTATTGAATAAGCAATACATGTCCCCTACCGGGTTTCCTTTTTCTTTAGGATGTCACTTTACAGTATGCAAAATTTATATGTCTTTTCTCGCTTCAAATTTACCTTGTTGACCTTCGGAATGAGTGCAATACAAACATAATCTTAAACCATTATGAAAAATTAAAAATGCCATAATTCTGTCAAAAATCAATGAAGCGAAATGAAATTCAAACTTGATCTGTAACTCATCAAGATACACTCACATGCCAAATTCAACTCGAGGTCTGCAAGAAAATCAGGTAGGACATATGGGGACAGACAGATGGACAGACAGACAGCTAGACAGACAAACGCAGAGGAAACCTATAGTCCCCTTTGGTTTCAAAAAAAAGTAATGCACAGCCAAATACCGATATTTAATACCATTTGAAAATATAATCAAAGCACATTGCAAAAGATCTTTAACAATAAAACAGTTTTACGACTTGGTGTTATGTTGTACAATTTATAATTTGCAAGAGTTCCTTAAACTGTTCATTATAGTCCACCATGGACTAAATAAAATCTAAGACAGTTAACAACCACTTAACCTTATGAGTCTTACAACAGTTCAAGTTGACCCATTATTTGTCACCAAAATAATCTACATATTTTGATCCAAGTCATTTACATTGTAAAACATGAATCAATATACTGCATAATTATTGCAAGGAAAGAAAACTGGAATATCACAGTTTTTTTTCAAAATTACTTTAATAATTGTAAACTTCTTTTTTTAAATGTGTAAATTATAGCTCTGTGTAGATGTGATTTGTACATCTTATATGACATACATTTCAAAACTAAAACCTTACCATAGTCTATACTATCACTCTGATATTTGTTCAACTGCATCATCTTTTTTTTTTTACCTTTTCTTCGACCTTGACCTCAATTATCAGAATTTTTTGTTAAGCTCAGTTTAAAAGAAAGTAGTCAAGATATTGTTTACAAACTGCATATAATGATACATATTGATACGATAAGAGCTCTTACACTGAATGAACAATTCTGACCTTTGACCTTGACCTCTTCTTATCAAAAACTTCATACATAAGTTTAAATTTTCATGTTACATAACAGTATCTGATAACAATCACTCAATATCATCAATCACATTTTTTCATCAATGTTAGCAAGTGCAGCAAACCAATACTTATCACCATCAATTTCAGTCTTCAACAAATGTATTTGTGAATCTTCTCCGGCTAGGCCCGAAAGAATTGAGGTGATTTTGATGGGGTTTAACCACTGATTAACCTTGAAAACAATTGTTCACCATTTGATTCTGTAATATTAAGCTGCTTCAAGTTAAAAGATTGTCCAGATTGAGAACTGAATCCACAGACTCTTCTGCTTTTCTTTTATGGTAACGTATGATACTTTCCCCTGCTGATGAAATATCTGTGCAAAGCTGTGCACTCAGGGCTTGCCTTTCCGCCAGTTACCATTTTCAATACTTCATTTGCATTTTGCATGGTTGTTTCCATTTCATCACTATATGTTGATATTTGCGAGAGAGTTTGGAAATTTGGTACATCTGAATCCTGTAAGAAGAAAATTAATTGTTCAGATGAAATCTGAAATAATTGTAATGTTATGCAATCAAATTTATACATGATGTTCAGATAATTTATTGTATTCTCGGGCTAAGAAAGTGCAGTGGCGTAGCGTGCATCAAATATATGTGTAGAAACTAGAAAATGAAACCGAAGGCTTCACTGAGGCGAGGAGGGCTGAAAGGGGGTAGGTGCGGAGCCCCTCCAGCTAGGGGATTTTGGGGGACCTCCCCGAGAAAATTAAAAAAAATAAATGCAAAATTATAGCACTTTTGAGAGAAGAAAATTGTTAATTCAAACAAAATATGTATGCTTGTTTATAGTTGTTTATTTGGGCATTTTGGGAATTTCGGATTTTGTGATTTTTGTTCTGTAACTTGTTTGCACCCTACTCTTCTGGGGGATTTCATGTACAAGTTGATATTAACTGTTATTTCAAAGACTAATATATGGAAATTAGAAAACTGTATGTTTTCAGGAATTTATGATAGCTGCAGCATTTAAAAGAAAATTAAAAAGACACAAGACACTTCAATCAGAAAGCTCACTTGAGTGTTATGTGGTCCAACATTACTGGAAATAAAATACAAACTTGTTAGTACTTACATTATCAAAATATTGCAGACAATCATGTTCTCTCAGATCATATCCTAGGGACTCTTCAGTAGTACATACATCATACTGCAAAATAAAATGAAAGATGAATAAATAAATAAAAGAAGTGAGTAAAGGTTTCATATTTTTAAATACTATAGGAAAATTATGAAGCATCCATATATATGACACCCAATTTAGGGAGGTATTTTTGTCCTGGTCAGGGGCATAGCCATCAGGGTACTTGGTACTTTTATGTGAACCCCTTAATAGGCGGGGGGGCTTAAGCCCCAGAAGTTGTTGAATTTTCAATGATTTCGATGTGCATATATTTGACCCTTCTGATGGCATTTTTCTCTAAAGATTGAAAATAACAAAGACAGAAGAATTCTTTTCAACTCTATTACTTGCACATTACCTATTTACATGCAGTAGTGTACATTGTATACAATTTAAAATGAATGCTCATAAATATTCACAAATCTGGTATCTAACTTTTTGCAACAATTATAAAACATGTAAAATATATTATTGGTTTTAAGGTAGTGTTACAGATGTGTTATGGATACTGAATTGTGATTTTTGAAGTCTCGCATGAATCCAAAATTAGGTTAATTTTTTTTGGGGGGGGGGGGTATCGTTACAGACTTAGCCAACTTGGGTTTTATTGTGTGAAATCTACAATAGAGAAACTCTTTAAGAATGTTATTACACTTGGAAAAAACTCAGCAATATTCGATTATACCATTCAATTGCAAAATCTGGGAAATCCTTTGATTTCAGTGAGGTGTATACTATTGTATTTTCTCCTAAAACTAATTCTGTTGATTTTCATTTACCGGTATTTTTTATTGTTAATTCTAAATTGTTTCTAAGTATTTGTTTTATTTTCAAAATTAAGTAATTATATTTTGCAAAAATGATGAGCATGTTTTACAATATTACGCCTGGTCGCTCTCCTTTTCTCTTTCTCTTCTTTCTTTTTTTTTTTGAAAATGATGTGGACATGCGACATTTGTACGTACAAACATACGCCTGGCTACGCGCCTGCTGGTAAATTGGAAATTGTTTTCTTCAACTTTGGGTTTCACATAAGCAAAATTTTTATTAATGCTTACATATATTGTGTTTATGAAAAGAATGATACTTTAAATGCTTACATATGATAGAGAATCCTGTCCATTGTCTAAATGGGAGATATCTTTGCTGTAACTTATCAGACAGCCTTTTGCATAGTCCTGCATAAGAAATGACATATTTATGAAGAACTGCTTTTTTTTATTGGTATGTTTAAACAATAAACATAAGTTCATAATCAATATTCCAAATAATTATATATACACTGTATATGTAATGCCCATCCAAAGAGTGATTTTACATTTCCTCAATTAAGTGAAATTTGAAAAAAAAAATTAAACAGATCTTGAAATGATAAACATTAAACAGTCACCTGAACCAATCACCAGTAACACTCCTAATCAGTTCAAGATATTTCTGCTCATTTCTGCATTTACTCCTTTTTGGGGTTTTGAGCTCCCTCATGTGATGGGTATGCACTTCCGAGGAGGTTCTAGGGCCATAACGATGGTATGGACATACTGTCATCGATGGATCAAATCTTGAAATAATAAATTATTCAATTTTTTATTTATAAACAAAATTCTCGACTTAATCATTATGAATGAATTTTATGCCTCCTTTTTGGGGGGAGTGTATATCCCCCACCCAACTACCCCATTTTTGGTTTGGTTTGCTTTGTGTGTACTATATTGAAAAATCACAATGATGTGATTTAAAAATAATAGGCCTAGTCAATAGTTCCAAACTTCAACACATACATAAAATGCTACTAGAAATATTGGATGCTTATTTATAGGATTTTTTTTTATTGCTACTGTTTATATCAGTATTATACATAAATCATTCGTCAAGGTAAAATCAGGGACCTTATATACTAGTAAATTAATTTTCTGAGACTGTGCAGATATTACAATTAAATTTCTATTTATGTGTGATATTGTGATTTTACGAGGACTGCAAATTTAAAGTCAAACTTAGTCAATGACTAGACATTTTGAGTTATAACAGCTGATTTCTGTAATCAACATATCGACCCGACGACAGTTAAAACACAAGCGAACCAAAATGAATATACATACTGGTGTCCTTTGAATCATATTAACTATGATTACATCATCTATAATTACAAAATAAAGAGTGTTTATCTAATTATTTACCGAAGTAAACCAATGCGCAGGGTAACCTAATCAGACACCCCTCCGGGCCCTCGCTGTCGGCCGCTGCACTCACGCTCGTCTGGTGACCTCCACTCAACTAAACGGTGTGTAGATACGTCTCTTTGACAATTGCCGAGTGTTGTTAATCCTTTTTCTTTTGGATATGGCTTGTAGAATCTCCTGCATAATGCCACACACCACATTTTAACACTTGATTTCCATCGGTTTCCATATTTCGCGCACTAGCGTGCCTAGCAACATCACGCCATCTAGCGATAAACGTGTTACATATCCAAGAACGGTAACCCGATTTCGCCAATATTGCTTGATTTTATCGGGAAAAATTTAACTCTGGTCGAAATTTTCCAAACTTTTTAGAACTGGAGTTAATAGTACAGAAAGTGCTTGATTAATATATAATTGCATTTTTACCAAAAGGTTTGCTGTTTTTTTATCCAAAGCCCTAAAGATGCATGACATTGTATAGATTTGCACTAACAGTCAAAATGCAATTTTTGAAATTATCGACCCGTAAAATTTAAACAAGGCGGAATATTTCCAATCTGACAAGTATTTGTCTTATACATGTCCTGTCTATTTCGTACATGATATATGAAGTGATTTCTCGAACCACGACTTATCACAAAAATTTGATTTTGCCTGATTCTTACGTGGACCTGTACTTAATCAATCTTACAATTTTATTCGATATTTCTACAGATCCATGTTTTTTATTGTATGTGAAAAAACTTTCTAATATTTACGAAAAATATTTACACACAACATGTACGAGCGTATGATTTATCTGATATAGTTGTTCACTACACTGCTTGCAACACTAGTGATATTTTTTACAAGTGTAGGAAAACATACTCAATGGTTTATCCAATATTTGTTAATTTTACGATTTTTAGCATTTTTAATCTTTTTCACAAATGTATGAAAACGTCGCCTCATCACAATTATAATCTCCCCAGATCCCACCACGACAAATATGTACACAGTCCCCTACCCAAGCATTATCCGGTTCATCTGGGTGCCAGTTGGAGTAGGAAGTGACGCCACGGTTGTTTCCTGTCCAGACAAATCTCCCCTCTTGGTCAATATCGTTGGCACCTATCCAATTGGAACAGCAATGCCACCATGTACTGCATTCCCCTGAAATTTTTTCAATGAAAATAAGAAATTGACTTTGTTTTAGTAGAAGAGCAAGTACAAATGTCGAGATTAAAGATCCTACTTGTTATCCAATACTAATCAAGGGTGAACCGGGATTAATACCAGGTTTTGTTCCATTCAGGCTGAGGCCTGAGTACTCCTTTGCTTGGAGCTGGATAACGAATTTGTTTCTTATTTACCCCAATTAATTCTTTATAAACATAATTCCAATCAACTGTTTTTCAACTAATCGATACGATTTACTATATGTTTGTATTACAAAGCATCATACGAGGGATGTTCGAAAAGTTTGTTGACTTTTGTCATATCTTTTTTTTTATTTGACGTCATATGTTAAAGTCATATTTAGTAAGTTAAAAACAATGCACTTAATAATGTCTGTAGTCGCATTTTCTGTAAAATGGACAAAAACACAAGACAACCTTGAAATAGAATTCAGAATTGATTCGTATTCTAAATTATGGCTTGATATTTTGCTTTGTTAAAAGGTATCAATTTAGGTAGTCCGTATTGAAAACGAAAAAAAACAAAGACGTTTAAGAACGTCACGGAGGAACAAAAAAGAATGAAATTTTGTGTTTTACTCAGGAAAATTTTTTAATAAAATTTCAAAATGTTGAAGGAATAAACAAAAATATGTCACAAGCGATTGGTGCATGTGTATACAAATAGTACAGGCAGTATTTTAGTGATAGAGACTGTATCGGGTGAGGACAATCTGAAAAGAAATCGTTTAACTGTAAAAATCTGAACAAAATCTTTAAAAAGTTGGAACCTCAAGGAAAGACATTTGAGCTACAAAGTTGCTTATCTTGTGACAGCAGAGTTCATGCAGATATAACAGAAAATCCAACCTTAACAAAGGAAATTATACATCGAGAACAATTGTAAAAAAAAATTAATGTCAAGTATTAGAAAAAAAGGTTTTTAATGCGTGGATATTGGATAACACTATGAAATGTATAGGGATAGTATTTTTTTTTTTTTTTACAAATTCTCGACGCTATGATTTGACATTACATTGCCATTAAGTGTGATCCAGGGGTGCAAAACATGATGAATTTAAAACAAAATAAAATTAATTTTTGTTAAATCAAATGGAATCTTACTTCATACATCAAGGAAACATATATGTTTACATATTATAATGTGCTTGTTTTAAATTTCAAGTGAGTAATATATAACGAAGATAGACATCGTCCACGAACTTTTCGATTAACCCTCGTACTGTAATATAATTTGTTCTTGTATCATAGAAAAATTATGCATTGTGACCTCACGATTTTTACCTAAAGCTAAAGTCAATTATACCTTTATATACCCCTGGCTTGCTAACCAATCAAATCTTGTGTTACAAGGTTGATTGGAAATAATATTTTTATCAAGAAAAACTGTACCGGAATCCCAGGCTGGCAGGAAGGTTTCTGTTAACCACGTGTTCTCTTCTTCTGTTTCTATGGAAACCAAGTAGGCCCCTAACCTTTCGCACTCAAACTGAAATGGACATTAAATTTATCAATAGCCATTAGACTGATAGGAAAACTACCATAAATGGGACACAGGCGTTTGTTTATATCAGGATATATGAAAACATGCATGATAATTGAAATTTTATTCTTCCCTTGGCATTTGGCCATGTAACCCTATTCTTGATTTGTAAGTAATAATGCATCTCATACAACAGCCAACCATCTCCTATAAAGATCAAATTTGTAGGTTTCAGATGAATTTTCTTTAGATCTGTTATCTTTGAATGTAAAGAATGTGAAATGAAATCGGAGAAAAATAGTTTAATATCATAATTAATATACGTTTTGAATACTCTTCTGTGAGCGTGCGTTTTTAAACAGATAATACAGACAATTTTCTCAATCAAGATCTTCAAAATAACATATAATTTAATTAATAGGTTTAATCGCTTTAATTTTCAGTTTTATAATAATTGACTTTTAAGTTATTTCCATCCTCAGAGTTTTAGTGGTTCAAAATAAAAAAAACCGCATTTATTTTCACTTTACTGTATATAGTTAAAATTAACCAATAATAGAAAATTAGTATAGGTTACCATCTTTTGTAAGAAGGTAGACAGTATTAAACAGAAGTGTATCTCAGCATTAATAACCGTTCATTTTTAGTAAACAGTATTACACACGTTAGGTAAAAAGTGGTTAAAATGCGCAATTTTGATGTTAAACGTTCCAAAGTAATTGCTACTTTAAAAAATTACTAGAATCAAGAATATCAGGGAAAGCATTTTACTTGATATTCAGGATAATGAAAATGCCAGAATACACGAGGAGTTATTGCTGTTTAAAAGATTTTAAATGATTAAATAATTAATTTAACAAAAAAAGGAAATATACATTTTTAAAAATCTTTCCTTAACTATTATTTGTTTTACACCTACTGAAAAGCGTTTATTTAAAAGATAATTTTCTAATAGGTATAAATAAAGATAGATTAATAACAATTTTTGCAAAAGCCTATGACATCACAGAAGGGCGGAAATGCCGTGATGACATTTTGTAAAGATTTTAAAACGGTTGTTACAGAAGGGAAGAATTCTAAAAATTGAAAAAGGTGAAAATTTTGTAAATTAAAATATTCTTTATTAGTCAATCGCAACCAATATTCCTTTTAAAAAAGTAATACATACATCTTTTTTTTGGTTTCTTTCATCTGCCTTCATTTGTTTATATTCCTTACCTTCTAATTTTGAATTATAATACCTCCAACCAGTTTCGTAGTCAGCTATAGTCACAGAATCACATGATTTATAAAGATGACATCTCTTTTTCTGGGAGTTGTAGCCCAGACAGTTACAGTTCTGACCACACATAGCGAAACATAGAGCGAGAGAGTCCGAATGGTGTGCTGACAGGAGAGTGTCGTAAAACACTGTATCATCTAAGTCAGTGTCCGCCAAATAATGAGACTGGAAGAGAGCCGCTCTTGTTGTCAACACACAGAACATTAAAAAGATGGCGCATCCCAGCATTGTGAAAAGGCTAAAGATTTAAAACAATGGCTGTAATAAATCTTAACTGTATATTGATATTAGAACGATACCATGCATAGTATATATGTCATTCATAGGCTATACAAATGTTTGTCATAGGTATATTCCTAAATCTTTCTTAATCTTTTTAGCTTCTCTTCTTATGTGTCTCTATAAGTTCACTGAATTCTTCTTTTAAACCTTTTAGAAGTCTACCCATGTAATTTGGTCGATTCTTAATGGATTATGATACAAATTAATTATCTAAAAGAAGAAAGCAGCACTTCATACATGATAGCAAAAGCGTAAATGGTTCTTGATATTTTGAATTGTATAAAATGACAGAATATATCGATCTGATTTTATTGTAGAAAATGTGGCAATTTCTATAACCTCTGAGAATTGAAGCAATATAGTCAGTCAACTTTAAAAACCTGGAATGCTAATGAAAATCTTATTTCTATTTTATCTCAAAGTTATAAAGAGATCCATAAAATAGCGCTACCAATTAATGAAATGAAATCCTAAACATTCTTATCTGAGTAAAATTCACGGAATATAGTTTTCGATATTTCCTTGACTGATTCCAATATTGCATTTCTGTATACTGTATTTGTATTCCAATATTGCATTTTCGAAAAATCCTTTTTTGTGATGTACATTTTTTAGTGGATTGAAGTAAAAATATTTGTGTTCGTGGAGATTTCATTTCGTGGATAAAGAGAGGCAGAGTAGTTATACTCGATTCCTTGTAGAAGTATATGACATTTTATATTTCCTGCTGGAAATACATTCCATCTTCTTACAGCAGAAACAACGGACGCCTAAAATTAGCGATTTCACAGTATGTCAATTTTGAACATCTGCTATTCATTATAGAATACTGTATTCGTACATAAATAATGACAGGTAGATATAGTTAAATTCTGTAATTTTCCATTAAATTAATTATATAAAGAATAAAGATACTGAGATGGAGTTTTCAATTATACTTGAAATACAGTAGGCTTAACAGGTTCAACCTCCAGGTTTTAAACAACGTATAGTTAGGTATTGCCATAAACAAGACAAGAGGTTATAAGTGAGCATACCAAGGTCTTATAAGCACTCTTTTAATATAAAAGGTTGAGTGCAGCCAATAGTTCGCAGTTGGTAAAATGCCTTTGTAATGTTTCGAATAAAGCGATCCATGTTCAGTTTACAATCAAAGAAAACATCCATTTTTTTTAAACATGATTTTAAAATTATTTACCCATCAATATTGATGCTGCATTCATTAAAGTAGATAATTCTGTATTTGGCGTAACGACAATAAGTTCTGTTTTTTATATCTTGATTCCTCTTTAAAAAGTTAGAGCGCATCCAAGTACTTATAACGGATAGGCAAATTTGCAAACGAGATACTACGTCAATGTAATTGCTAGGAGGTATTATTGCCATATATAGCTGATAATCATCTGCATAACTGTGGAATTTCATGTTATGTATAAGGCAGTTATCGAAAATTGGCTTAGCAAACAGGCTGTAAAGCTTTGGTCTAAGAACCGAATCCTTGGGAACGACAGATCGTAGATGGAAGTCTCTAGACCCTGATGAACGTGAAGCAATTCGTTGGTGTCTATCGCTTAGGTATCCATGAAAAGGCCATACTGGTGATGAACACTGTATGCTGACTGCTGTTTATCAGTTCGAGGAAACTATTTTATGTGACGTCGGAATAAATTTACATGCTAAATGAGGTACCAACGTGACTGACAAATCGACCAATCCGCTGAATGAGTTGGATTACTACAAAACATACTACGTTTGTAAAATGCCAGTTTTTTTTCAAATTGCACTCGGAAAGACATGTTGCATTTTTTCGACCATTTTTCATGCTTAACACAAAGTTTACATCATTATCTACTAATTCCATTTTACAAACTATTCATTAACAACGGTATTATTGTGGCTTTCTCCACTCCATTGAATAAGTTTATTCGTGCAAAAGTTATTGTATTCATGTACTCACGTATTGTCATGTTTACAAGACTTCAGGCGGTAATTTAACAGTATAGTTCCTTTTTAGAAAATATGCGATTAATTTTTACAGATTTTCTGTTGCATTGTAAATATCCAAGTCCTTTGAAATCAAAAAAAAAAAAAAAACAGAACAGCTAGAAATGTCAAAAGATAAAAAAAGACTAAAGCTCAACTTTTGATTTTAACTGATGAAAATATTTCTCTGCTGCCTTCAGAAAAAATACAATTTTACGAATCTGAAAGAAATTCACTTAAAAGTCCGAATAAAAACTAGTTTATTAGACTTTCTAAAAATTCTTACAAATGAAAGAAAATGGGCGCACTAGATGGGCTGTCGGCAGGAATCATTGACACGAAACAATTCAGATTTAAATGTCCAAGCACCATATAGTTTTAATGCATATGTTATACATCTTATAGAAACTGCATGGGAATGGATTTCTGTCTTATGTTTGTTTATTTGTAAATATATTTTTTTTCAATTAAAAGGTGTCAAGAAAGATAAATTATCTAATATATAGTATGCTGGATACATCAGCTGTACATTTACATGTAATATGATATACACTGTAATAGAAGTCTAACACTAAATAATTTTTTTTGCTCAGTTTTCAAATGCACTGAAAATATTGAATGTAACAGAACGATTGAAGTTGATTTTTTTAAAATTATATTCAATATTTTTTCATCAGGTGTAACTTTGTAGTTCAAGTTCATGTATGTTTATTTCCATTTGAGAACATTAGCACAATAAAAGACAAAATGTAAATGCATTGAAAAATAAAACAATGTAAAATACTTTATAAAACATAATTTGTTACTTTATTCAAGGAGTATTCAAAATTCAAAAATTTCAATCTCAAAGAAAAATAAAATAAAAGAAATCACTGTATTCGAACCTAAAATACTGCTTCCATATGACTCGAATCCAGCGACAAACCAATGTAGCTACCGCGGAACACTATACATTGCTGGTATTGAAATCATTATTTAAAGCCAAAGCCCTATACATTTGGACTTTGTCAATTTTCTACCAGAAAATAAATGTGAAAAGTTTAGATTTTGGTATTTCTGGGTCGTCTCTCCATTTTTTAAACAACTGGAATGCATTTTACGGTTAAAAATACACTGATAACACATTTAAAAAGTATGGAGAGAAGACCCAGAAACAACAAAATTAATGAAAAACGGCTATAAAAGAGTAGATTTTTCCATCATTTGACTCGTACGGCTATATTCAGGTGCATATTTCAATAAAATTAAACATTTTTAACTAAATATTTGCCCATTTTACATTTACCAACAACACAGTAATTGGCTAGGTTTTGAAAAAAATGTATAAATCAATGATATTTTTAAAATTCTTTTTATGAGCCACTATTCCTGCCGAATCGCCATCTAAAGCGCCCACTTTCTTTGGATTGTTTCTAGTGTATTGGTGTTTGATAAGTTTAAAAGTGTAATTTAGAAAGTTGGTGTATGCATGTACGTAGACTTGGTATTTAATCTATATATCATTCGTTTATGGAATGATTACAAAGATGCGAACGTTATGTACATGGTGACTTTGTAAATATTGTTTTCTAATAATGCAACTTTGAGATAAATATACACTTGTATATGTATAGACATGTATATGCATGCTACTTAATCCATACACAACAGTTATATATCAGTGTAGGTGAGTTTTTAATAAAATTGTGTAGAATAAATGTCGTACAGCAATACACTTTTGTTTTAGAGTGTATGAACCTTTATTCAACAAATGAATAAAACCAGTAGCATATGGTAAATATACGAATATCAAGTACATGTATAAAAACTAATTTTTTTTTTTACATGTGAAGAGATTGAGAGCGGTATTTCAACCTACTGAATAACACCGAAAAATAGCTTTCTTTGTTTATGTGAGCATGGAACATCTTATTTATTACTTATTCTGTCTTAATTTTTTACAAAAACAAATTAAATAGATATTACTTGACTCTCCGACAGGCATTTGAAATAATGTCGTAAATTGACCTGAACCACGTGTTTGTAGTAAAATGTAAACAAGTAGTAGACCAGCATGTTTTTTGAAGTATTTTCATTAAAGAACGAAAGATGATCTCTAATAGTGTTGATTTTAACCAGGAAAAAAGTGCCAAAAGCATTTGCAAGGTCCTGTTGACGACCATTAGAAGGGAAAAAAAACATGTACGAGCGTAGAGTTTAATGGTTTATTCGAGCTTTGTTGACTTCATGACTATTTGCTCGGCTTTTAACATTCGTAATATTTATTACAAATATATGAAAATATTCTCGATAATTTTTAATCTTTTTCACAAATGTAAGAATATGTTCCGCCACAGCCATAATCTCCCCAGATCCCCTCACGACACATATGTACACAGTCCTGTCCCGCTTTATTATCTGGTTCATTGGGGTACCAGTTGGAGTAGGAAGTGACGTCACGGTTGTTTCCTGTCCAGACAAATCTCCCCTCCTGTTCAATATCGTTCGCACCTATCCAATGTGAACAACAAAACCACCATGTTCTGCATTCCCCTGAAAGTTGTTAACAGAAAAGCAAAACATTTAAGTAAGTTCGTATTGGAAATTATGAGAAGTGGACTTCCTACCGGTGAGGAGCAAGTGCAAAGATCGAAATTAAAGACCCTATTCTGGTTTAATAAAGGGTTTTATCCCATAGACCTTTGGGCCAAAGTGCTCTTTGTTTGGGGCTGGTTAATGCTTTTATTTCTTATTTACCCAAATATATTCTTTTTAAACTTAAGTCTAAACAAATGCGTTATAATTAATCGATAAGATTTACTACGCATACGTGCTACAAAGCACCGTGACGTCATATAATTTGTTTTGGTATTTAGAACTATGCTCTGGGACGTCACGTCACGTTTCTTACCCTATGCAAAAGTCGGTTACATATATGTATACCGATATCAGCACCTGGCTTGCTAACCAATCATATCTTGGGCTACAAGCGAAATAGGAAATATTATATTTTTTAAAAAATGTACCAGGACCCCGTACTGGCACAAACGTTTCTGTTAACCACGTGTTTTCTTCCTCCGTGTCTATGGTAACCAAGTAAGCTCCTAGCTTTTCACACTCAACCTGAAATAGACATTATTAACTATAATACTGACTGGAAGAAATCATAAAAACTACATATCTAAAATGTATGTGACATATTTGTTTATTACTGTCAGGATGTATGAAATAATAACTGACATTTTCTTCTTACCTTTGCATTTGACCATGTGACCTTGTTCTTGATTTGTAAGTAATAATGCATTTCATACAACATCCAACCATCTCCTATAAATGTCAATTTAATTTTACAGTCGAGATGTTTTTATCTTTGAATGTAAAGGAGATTAAATTTCATGCAGAGATAAAACAAATCTGAGGAGGAATAAACTAAATATATAGTTTGATTCAGAATCTGGATTTACACATTAAAACTAATTGAAGGACAGATGATACAATCAAAAAATGGATGCCTAGTTTGGTATATATTTTATGGACTCGTTTCGGTAAAAAGGATGCGAATAATACTTTTTTTTTTTTACAATAATGGACATTAACGAAGAAGCACCGACTTTCACAGTTAACGGTTTACTTGGCATTTAAACCTGCATTGTGTATATAGGTACGGAATTGTTAATAGATAAGAACACCTTTTCTGTGGTCATAGATACTGCCGCGGATGTAGTTATGGGCACTAACATGTGAAGACGAGGAGTTGAGGGTAAGTGGGTTGTCTTTTTTCCTTAAGGACAACTGATTAATGCGTTGAAATAACCCGTTAATTTCGTTGAATTATATCTTGAGCTAAATATTTTATCGTATAAAAGCTTCCGTACATTGTTGTAGTGCAAAAGTAAGCTGTCAAATGTAAAAGTCATCGCCACTCGTAAAAGACCATAAAGAAATTTTAAACTTTCTAAGATGTTCCAACTCCGCATCTCTGAAACCATCCTTATTAATCTCTTCAAATATTTTTTTTCACTTCAAATCCCAATTTTGAAAAAAATTGAAGAAAGAATACTTTGCGGTAAAACCCATAAATTTTATTCGTTAAAATATGACCCAAGTTGCTACTTCCAGATTTTGTCATATCTCTAAATCTAAATACTTATGGCACGATATTATTGAATGTACATTAAATTATATGAAAGATTTTCCTTTAAATAAAAAAAATTAAGTGCATATTTGTTTTTTATATAAGAAAGGAAGAATTCTATACATTGTAAAACGTTTAAAATATCATAATATTTTAGAAATATCTTAATATTTTAGAAATAAAGTATCAAAGTCAGTTACATGTATAACCAATATGGTTCAAAACACATAGCAATACAGACATTAGTTTTTGTTTCTTTCAGAGGTCCTTAAGATTCAACAAATCATTATTTTTGAATGCTACATACCTTTTAATTTTGAACTGTAATACCTCCACCCAATTTCGTTATAAGTTATATTCACAGAATCACATGATTTATATAGATGACACGTCTTCCTTTCGGAATTGTAACCAAGACAGTGACAGTTCTGACCACACATAGCCAAACACAGCGTGAGAGAGTCACAATGGAGTACTGACAGGAGAGTGTCGTAAAATACTGTGTCATCTAGGTCAGTGTCCGCGAAATAATGAGACTGGAAGATGGAAGCCCTTGTCCAAGTCAACACAAAGCAGACAAGCAGACAAATGGTGAATCGTAGCATTACTACAAGTAATTAAGATTATTTAAAAAACCATAAAATCAGCACTACTGTGTAATACCGACAAAGTTTAGTAAAAATTTATTCACAGAATCATATGATTTATAAGAAAAAAAAACACGCCTATCCGCGAAATACAAAGCACAACATAACATCAGAAAAATGGGACATTTTAACATTGTGAGAAAGCAAAAGATTTAAGGCATGAAATTTTTCAACCTCCTTTCACTAATCCACCATTTGCAGTATTTCAAACAAAATTTACATAGTACGTATATATCCTAAGTGTTTGTATTATATCCTTAATATTAATACAATACGACCGTTTATAGGCTTTATATCTTAAATATATATTACCTCCCTTCTTATGTGTCTTTAGAAGTCAAGCATTCCTTCCTTTAAACCTTCTACGAATGCTATTAAGTCGATTTCAAATGGATTATTAATAATTTAAAACAAAGAAGCGCTTCTTATTAATTGCAAAAACATTCAATGATTCTGATTAACGAAAGGGCAGAATATCGATTTGATTTTATTGTACAAAATGCGGCTTTTTTTACCCACGATAATTGGAGCACTTTGCTTAGTTGATTTTAAAAACATTGAATTGAAAATGTTTTTATTTTATCTAGGAGGAATACAAAGATCCATAAATTCCTTTTTTAGATTAAATCATTGAAGAATTGTAAGCTGGATAATATTCATGGTAAATGTTTATTGATACTTCAGTGATAGGATTCTGAATTTAATTACTGTAAAATAACGTATTTTCGTGGTGTCAAATTTTCGTGGATTGAGGGGAAACACATGGGTTCATTGAGATTAGATTTTGTGGATGAGAGTGTTTAGTAGTTATGTACCTGTATAGCAGATTTTACATTTTGTAGTGAAAATGCATTCATACAGAAAAAAAAAAACGAACACAAACTCCACACTGAAATTATATTATATATAAGATTCTCCAAAAGGGGTTTTACCATGGCGGCCAGCCATTGTTGAATTTATATGCGCCATGATTAAACGAGCTGCGCCATGGTTAAAATGGACAGCCGCCATGATTATATTTGTGAAATGCAATATCTACAGACCTGCCTACCCTTTTCTTTGCAAGGGTGTAATTTCAGTAAATTTTTGGCGGAATTTCAGTGGTAAAAGCGTAATTAATCATGTTTTCCTATTTTGTTGTTTAACTATAATACTTTATTTTCTTTCAAAACAACTACAGTTGGATAATATTAAACAAAGCTGGCATTAACTTTTCTTTTCGATTCATTTATTGATAAAAAAAAAGTGTTGTAAAGTACCAGTATCCTATATTCAACTCAAATCAACCACACACGCTTAATGAAGTTTTTGGTCAATTGGTAATAAATCACTTTTTTGAAGGCTTGCGTTTGCATGTCTACACAAGTTGTACATAATAACACTGTATTTTACCTTTTTAACACTTACATTTCTCTATTTTAAACTAAATTGAGCGTAGAAATGGCTGCACTTATCGCAATATTATTTTTAATAAACGTAAGTAGTGCCTTCTTGTGTTCTTCCAAATCTTTGCTATACCAGTTTACGAATACATATAACTACCGGTACTAGGTATATTACGTACGTTATCGAACTGGTACTCTATTAATTACTTTTACTAAAAACTTCACTCATTTCAGCGAGTCGTACTTTGACTCTAAATTTAGACGTTCATAATGGATTTTAAACCAAAATATTAAAAGCGTAAAAATAATATAAGTGGCGTAATAGCGTAATTTTGTGGTAAAAAGCGGAAGAATTACGCCAAAAGCGGAAGGGTAGGCAGGTCTGTATAATCTAGGAAAAAAACGTCTAGAAAAAAAGGGATCTGGTCCAAATGTTCCTTTGTGAGTTAACTTAAAAATACTACCCATTCATCGGTTTTAAATCCAAAAAAAAAATCATTTCATACAACAGGCTACAACAATTTCTATTATTCAAAATTTCTGAATAATACTACCATGGTTATTGTATCAACAATTTTATTTTAATTCCTTTAAAAAGCACTACAATTTTGGGAAATTTTTGGTACATTTGTGACGTAAGATACAGGATAAATCCTTTTCAATTTAATTATTTTTTTAACTTTAAAAAGTGTTAGTTATTCCATTGTTTTGTCTTGCATTGGATAAGTTTAAAAATTGTAAAACCAATCATTGAGTAATGAAGATTATGAAGTCTAACACGCATTCGTGTTTTCGATCACTTTTCGCCCTTGCGCAGCTTCCTCTATTCGATTTCAAATGTGGAGTATCCTGATCATTGATTTTACAGAACTGACATATCATCATTGACTGATCCGTATCTGAGCCGCAGGTTTGCAAACATGTCATTTATTAAAGGATATTCGAAGGATACTGTATACCAAATTTAATAATGACAGATGCATGTACATGTAGCGATAGGTTTCCTGAAAACTTCCATCAAATAAATTTTAACCTATCTATGAAATACGGCGGATTACATGGTTCAAACTCAAGGTTTTAAAGACTTCTTCTTTGAGTTTCTAGGTTTCTGTCCAACTTCAAAGAAACTGAAGCGTTTGACGTTTATGTAATTATCAAGCAAGCCACTTGACTGATCACATCAGGTAACCAAAAAAAAGCTATTCCTTAATTACGTACCAATGATGTGATTTTTGGATAAGATATGTTAATATGCAAGAAATGGTTCATATTCATTTATAAAAATTTGTTCTAGGAAATTTATCAGAAATTCATAGTAAAAATAGTTTGACTAACTATAGTTTGCGTCAACTAATTATGAGGGTACGATCGGTACATTTAATTAAAATTTTGTTAACGCTCGATATTCGGACACTCGGAATAGGGTTGAGTCGCAAAGAACCGGGTCTAAAAAACTAATACACTGTACATTTTTTTCTTTCCTGTTAAAAGATCGCAAGTGGACTGGTGTAACTGAAAAATAAATTTAAAAGATAAATGGGCTTAAAAATTCTTATCTCAATTCCAAAAAAAAATTAATTAAAAAAAAGTCCTTACTCATCTATCAAGTACTCTGGTGGTTGATACTTGTACGAAGCGTGTTGGACCGATTTATCTTTGCAAACCAAAATGGCAGTATAAATGGGCTAAATTTTCGATAATCTCAATTTCAGGGTTAGGAGGGCTATTAAAACTATTATAAGGAATGTTTTGTTGTGGAAATAGTAAAAGAAGATGTTAGAAAAACACGGTTTGTAATATTTTGAGATGACAGTTTTAAAAACATGGAGTAATAAATCAAACAGCGCACTTTTTTGTGCGCAATAAATGTACAGTTTTGTCAATGGATGGCACTGTAGCTCTCCGGTCTGCCGATATATATATATATATTTTTTCGGAGAGCTACAGTTCTGCAACTAAATTTGTGGTTAATCTATGCTTGAGTAGACTATCCGTCAAGAAATGCAGTTTTAATTTTTGTTTAATCTTGTATAAAAAGAAGCATGGAATAGGATACAAAACCGACGGACTGCATGCAGGTAACATGAGATGTTAAGTTTTAAAAACTATTTACGATATATAAGTCGAGTTTTTTTTTGGGGGGGGGGGGGGTGTCCCTCAT